CCTCCTCCCACGGCAACGTCTTGGATTGCTCGGTGCAGAACGACTTGAGCGAAATCTTGATAACACTTACGTCTTTGTCAGCGTTTGCTGCGCGTCGTGCAGCCACATCTTGACGTCGTCGCTTTGTCTCTGTGGTCAGGTGTGAGAGCTCCGATGAGATGTCTTCGATTTTTTTCACTTGCGAGTTTGGTCCTGGGTCGTCTTCTGCGTCCAAGCGAGGACGCTTCATCGCCATCGTGCAAATTGTCGAATGATATGCTAGCTCTCCTGCTTTGGCAACAAAGATGCAGTCTAAAACACTGAATTCAAGTATATTGTTATGCAGTCATCTATTGGCCGAAATAAGTATTCATTGCACTTGCAGTGTGTGAGTGATGCTCAGAGGTAATTGTAAAAATATTGCAAAGTAAAGCGCATACGGTGTTCCTCGCTCTTCGGGCTCTTCCTGCCCTTCTTCATCTTCGTCTGAACTTTATCCCTGTGTCTGTCCTTGTAGACATTGTCCTTAACGACCAGCATAGATTTCATTATTACAGCGACAAATTGTCAGTTCTAGGCTAGGTCATCCTACCTTAACGGTGGTCGGAGGGGACTTAAGAGACCACTACGACCGGCTTTGGGTGTCGATAACGCCGGTTTCAAAGGGGATGCCGCGTTGACATCATGGATCCACGCGTAGTTTTCGTGTTGGGATACTTCCCACGTTGCGAAGACCTCTTTGAAGTTGCTCGGAAGGTTGAACCGATGCTCGCTTGGTTTAGAGTGCGGCGGGAGCTTCTGTGGTCTCAAACTCGACCTACTACTACAAGCGGAAGTTGAGGAGGACATCAAGCGGATATTACAGCGAGAATCCGGTGCTGGTGAAGCCGGTACTGATGCAATTGTAACCTTTGAGGTCTTGGCAACAGGACTATAGCAGTGAGGTTGACGATTCCTTTGCTCTTGGAGTATCTTATCCACAATATCAAGCTGGTCTGCGGGGCGCAACTCGTATCCTTGTTCCAGTTTAGCTAGCACGCACTTCTTCAGCATAAGCAGCGCGTGGATGAGAGTGTGTTGCGTGGGTAGCACGGGCGTCGTGCGCGTGGTTTCGCTTTGCGCCGTGGAGTAGTAGATCCCCTCGCTCTCCTCGATCTTCCTCGTCGAAAAAACAAGAGAAAATGTGCAGTAGATGGCGCCATCGTGCTCTCCGCCGAGCAACAAGAAGATTCGAATCATTCTCTTGTTGCTTGTGCTTAATGGTTCACATACTTGTACGGTCATGCCACGAGGCACGTACTCCAATTGTAGTCCCCGATCGTCGTTGTCTCCTGAAACTTTAGTATTGTCCAGATGGGAGTCTTCGGTACACTTAGTATTTGTGCGAGTTGTTGCACCAGACCGTTGAGTGTGTATCACGGATCTCTCATTTTCCGAATCGACTATCGCACTATCGAGGTTGTCATTTGTCATGGTCGATTTCTTCCGCATCCCTGTTTTTTTCTTGGAGTGTTGGTGGTTCAGATGCGTCTTGGAGCTTTGGTGTTTGGTGCTTGACAGCGACTGGCTTATGGTATTAGCGTCCAGACCGGATAGGATCGACTTTCGAGATTTTAGAGGGACTACAGCTTGCCTCCTTCCACGGTCTCGAGAACTGGCAGCAGATCCATGAGTACTTTTGGTACCTGCAGAAGCTTTCCTGGACTGCACTGAGCGATCATTTGTACTGCTAACATCATCTCCAGCTCCTTCTAATGGCGCTTTCGTAGGTACAATGCTTCCTTTTGCTACTGTGGCTGCTCGATCCACTCGGACTTTGATCGCTGCAAGTTTTGACGTAGCGGAATGTCTTTTGGCCTCTCGAGCCACTTCGATGACTTGCAGCAACTGGACTAACGTGAGTTCACCACTGTTAACGTCGCTATTGTTTCCGGATCGCTGTACCGAAACAATGTTAGGTAGTTTTGATAGAACGGTGTACGGGTCAGGAAGGTCTACTCGCATACCCAAGCACGACAGCAGAGAGAAGAGTTCTTGTCGCGGTATTGTACCGCAGTCATTGAAATCGAACATGCGGAACTTGCTCATGATGAGTTCGAGTGTATCGGGGTGGAAACTTGCCACCAGTCGATCAGGAATGTGGTAAATTTCTCTCAGTTTCTCTTGTTTGAGTTCCTCGAGTTTCTTGTCTCGGGTACAGTCTGCTATCACTTGCTGGAAGGCAAACTGCTCTCGGAAATCTTGGTTAGCGTCTTCAGTCTGCGGGATCTGTGACTGCTCTGGTGTCCAAAGCGATGTTGAGCCACCAAGAGGGACGTGACGAAGCAAACCTTTTGCAGTTGAAGCCGCATTGCCATCAACGCTGAGTAAGACTGAAAGGATCTCCTGTAAGGCAATCGCAGGGCGTGATAATGGAGTCAGTAGCATCGCACAGTTCATTAGTGCACCACAAAAGAGTGGAAACGTGAGGGCAGGCTGACCGTCAGCATCAAGATATACGCGCATTTTGCCCATAACTGCTTGTGCAAAGACCCTCTCAACAGATTCATCGTCAAGCTTCTTTTCCGCCGAGTTAGTATAGTGATCGCTCAGTAGATGTGCATCGCGAAGGATCTCTTGAAGGCGTGTACAGCTGATCGAAGGAAGAGTATCTCCAATGATGGACGAGTCGTAAAACTTGAACAAGCCGTAAAGTTGCTCAATTTGGCTCGCAGTTAACGTCTCAAGTGCTGAGTTGTTCAAATTCCAATGGAACTGCGGGATCAAGGAGGATGTCGGGCATGTGTGTGGGCGATCGACAAGGACAGAGACATCGGAGTTGGTCGAACTGTGGCGTAGTAAACTTGAAGCCTCGGAGGTCTGTTTGGGCAGCCATTTCTTCCGTTTCGGAGTCGGTGCGGTGGAGGCGCGATTGTCCATGCTGCACTCGTAGCAATTGGCAATGCGTCATGACATTTTGAAGAACAAAGCGCGAGTATTTTTACGATTCGGTACAAATAGCTAAGCGTATTCTAGTGTCACTAAGGAAGGCCAAAGCGATTAAACATTAGCCTCCGATTATAAGAATCAAAAAGACAAATCACAGCAGCACTTGACCACGTAGCTGTCGACACATTGGCACGTTGCATTGGAGTGCCTGGCAGTGCAGCGCGTGATACGCGAATAGCTCAATGACTGCATTGCCGATGGGGTATGATCGCCACTTCTCGCTGTGGGAAGCCCAGCAGGCCGCACGTAGGAACCGCTTCATATGCGAGCACAAGCCGCGGAACTGGGGGTCGCGACAGTGCGCGTCGTCGCAGTTGCACGCGTGCATCAGCAGCGCGTTGGTCCTGTCCATTTCGTCCTCTCCAACTGCCGCTTGGAACGCCTCCGAGACCTGAATAAAACAATGGATTGGTCAGTTATTGAGCGCTTGTTATGGATATTACATGAGGTGCTACCTCCTTCGCTGTAGCCTCTCCATCGTCATTCGGTTTAGAGCCATTGACACGCTCCTGCTTGATCCTAACGTCCGACATAGTTGACACTGTGGCCTTCTGTACCCTTTTTGGTGTCCTATGCCGACAAATACCTGTTTTGATGCATATACTGCATTTAAGAGGAATATATAATTCTATATAGTAGGTATTGTAAAGACGAGCTTCAACATTCTATATCAAAGGATGTTGAAAATAAATTTTGAAAGATCTGTCGAGATGTCATGCCTGTCTGGAGAAGCATCTGCTCACTGCGAAAGAGACAGCCGACTACGTCACTCCAGGCTCGGCAGCACCTTGTTTTCGACGCGCGTTCTCCGCTCTCAGGGCGAGTCATAGGCTGGCCATGCCTCCATCAGCTTCCCCGCCGTCTCCTGCGTCCGACGAGCTGTCGCTCAGCTGCCTCAGCGCTCTACTATCGTCGCTATGGACGTCAGCATGCGAGGCTCGGCAGAACATAACCCGGCAGCGGTTACTCTTCTTCCTCAAGCAACATGTGCCCATCTTGGAATGGTTACCCTCGTACGATATCCGTGAAGACTTGCAGTTCGACTTGGTGTCAGGGATTACAGTCGGCCTCATGCTGGTACCCCAGGAAGTATCCCTGAGTGCCATTATGGGGGTACCTCCCATCTACGGACTCTATACAGCAGCCGTTGTACCCATGATTTACCCATTATTTGGTACATCCAGGGTACTCTCCGTCGCCAATGGAGCGGAAGTGAGTCTACTCGTGGGCTCTGCTATCAAGAAGGTGGAGAGTGAAGAAGAGAGGATCGCTACCGGTATTTTACTGAGCTTCTTGAGTGGCGTGGTGCTGCTCTTTATGGGCATGTTCCGTCTAGGAGTTATTGCAGATTTCTTCTCCAGACCAGTCATGGGCGGCTTTATCTCGGCTGGAGGAGTGCTCATTATGCTGTCCCAAGTCGCAAGTTGGTGGGGACTGGAAGTCAAGAGCAGAGATTTACCGGTATTGACGGTATGGGATTTGTTTCAACATTTCCCAGATCTCAATGGACTGAGTTTTGTAGTGGGAGCATTCTCGATCATGGTGTTAGTGGGGATGCACGAGTTAAAGAGACGAGTGGTCAAAGAACTGGCGAGAGTCGAAGAAGAGTTTGAAGATCAGTTCGCCATTGAGACGTCCCGAGCTTTGAATCAGCTGTCCATGAGCATGAGCTCAGCTAGTGGGGATAACGGCGATATGGACGAGGATGAAGAGGACAGTCAAGATGCCAAGGACGACCGACGAACTGCGACTTACGAGGGTGATATTGAGCTAGGAGACGTCCCGAAGCCCAAGAAGCGGCAACCACGGAAGAATGACGACGAAATGGGTGTAGACAATGTGTCGGTCTCGCCACGTGGCTCGAGGTGGGCAGATTTACCGGCGGTGTTTACGACAGGATCTCTACGACGTCGTGACTACGTGTTGTCTTCTCCTTGGGGCTCCTCACGTAACAGTCGGGACCTTGGCTCGAATGATTTGGACTTGGCTCGGTCATGTCGTCAGAGAGATTTAGCTGCAATTACCCGTAGCAACCGTCATGGACGTCTGGACGACGAAGGTGTGGGCTTTTCTCTTTCGGATGAAGACTACATTACGATCGAGAGGCCTCTAGATTTTGGTACACGACCTGATGGCGCTTCTGGAATGCCACGTTCGAGTTCTGATGAAACTTCAGCTCGTCCGCTGCCTCGAATGCACCCAACGCAACCAAAAGTGGAGAGACCTCGACGCACCGACGACAATGATGATGACGCAGAGGCTAAAGCTGAGGCTGAAATGAAGCGGCGTGTGAAGGAACTTGCATCTCCTGCGAAATCTGAGACTGGATCGGAATCGGACTCAACAACTGCATTAACTGGTCGCATGTTGGCGGCATCGTCGACGTCGATTCGTATATTACGCTCCAAGATGGCTGTTCTAATCGCACTCCGGTTAGTGTGCGATCTTGGCGCGTTTATGGTGTGTTTACTTGGCGGAATTGTGGGCTACTTGGCACCAGAAGGGTCCCTCAACCTAGCTGGAGACGTTCCTGGTGGATACCCAGCACCCAAGAGACCGTGGTATGGATTCAGCGAGAACATTATCGAGGCCGATCGACTGTATCATCTCTTCATTGATACGCTCTCAATCGCTATCATCTCGTACATGTGCAGTGTCGCTATGGCCAAGCGTCTGGCTATCAAGGAAGGCTATCGCATCCGACCAAACCAGGAGCTCATTGCGCTCGGATTCTCCAACCTTGTAGGCTCGTTCTTCCAGGGAATGCCGTCCACTGGCGGACTCTCGCGTACGGCCGTTAACATGCAAAATGCGCGAACGCAACTCGCGAGTGTCATCACTGTACTCGTCGTGGTGCTCGTGCTGTACACGGCCACGTCAGCGTTGGCTTATCTGCCGAAGGCCAGTCTAGCGTCCATCATTATCGTCGCGGGATACTCACTCATTGAACTGAAGGAAGCCAAGTGGCTGTATCGAGTCAAGCGAGACGAATTCTACGTCTGGCTGGCGTCGTTCGTGCTCTCGTGCGTACTCGGCGTGCTTCCTGGTCTTCTGTCCTCCATTTTCTGCTCTCTGATCGCTGTGATCTACAAGACTCGTCGCCCTACTGTATCCATGTTGGGCGAGGTGACGGACGAGGAGACTGGAGAGAATCGAATCGTGGAGCTCGACATGTATCCGGACACTGCTCGTCGTTTATCGGATGTTGTGGCGATTCGTGTGGAAGGCGCCTTGTACTTTGCCAACTGCGAGTACATTGAGCGTGTGGTGGAGCGGGAGGTTAGAAAGCGGCATGAAACGGAGGGTGTGGCTGTGCGTGGTGTGGTGATTGACGCAGCTTCTATCATGGACTGGGACTCGACAACAATTCAGATGATGAAACATTTGAAGGCTGAACTGCGAGGACAAGGCATCATGCTGGCTATTGTGAACGCGCGAGATCGACTTCAGCACTTGCTGGGGACATCCGAGTTCCTCGTGGGTATTGTGCACAATGACGCTCGTATTGGCTTTACGGAGGCCATTAAGGCTATCCGCGAGGAAGACATGCCACCGGATGAGAGTCAGGCATTAACTCGGTCTTCAAGAGTGCACAGCATTTAGCAGATCGAGATGTGTGATGGATGACCTAGCAGCCTAGAACTGACAATTTGTCGCTGTAATAATGAAATCTATGCTGGTCGTTAAGGACAATGTCTACAAGGACAGACACAGGGATAAAGTTCAGA